CTGTCTCTCCACACCGCCACTTTTCCGCCGAAGGTGAAGTCCGCCTTCCGTCATGTTCGTGGCGCACCTTGCAACAGTGGATATACGAACATTTTTTTGTTGTTGGCGCTGGAGAAACTGGCAATCGACGGTCACACGATGGCGCCAGCATCTATCTTCGTTGTGGTGTAAGCCGCGGCCGAACGCGTCATGATTGGTGAACCGCGGCAACGCGTCGCCTGTGGTGTAGCTGTAGTTTGACGCGTTGGTGTTGGTGTCGCGCGGCAACGGCGTTTGTGTGGTGTTGCCGCGGCAACGCGTGGGGGGTGTTTGTTTTTGTGGAGCCGCGCGGCGGCGGTTCCGGTGTGATTGCGGTTTTTTGGTTGCTCTTCGCGCCGGAGATTCGCTGCATGCGCGTTTCCCGTTGCCGTGTCAATCATTGCACTGCTCAGTGTGTAACGTGTGTGGCCTGCGAGCTGCGCGGTTGAGCGGCGCTGCGAGCGGTGCACGCGTGCTGTGTGTGCGAGCGATCACGGACGAGCGACGCGATGACGTGGGACTGATATTTTTAAATGCCGTCGTACTTGTACGAATTTGCGGCAATAATCGGTCTCTGGCATAAAATCTATTTCACCTGGCAGCGCTGAGATTGCTGGCGCCGCCTATGTTTGCACGTGGTTTCTAGTGCGGTCGTCTTAGGAAGATGTATTGTTAATTTTTGAGATGAACTGATTTGTTACTGTTATAAATTTAATAATATGTAGTGAATGCTTGGGAAATGGTGGGAATGGTGTGATATCTAGTGGTGTATGTGTCCAGGATGCTTATTGAGAGGGAATCGAGCGTTCAGAGTTGTGAGACTGCTTCGGACCAGTGTTTCGGTATTCTATGCAGAGATGTCGTTGTTATTGTGTTTCATTTGCAATGCTGCTGTATTTACTGTTGAAGGATAAGAAATCGTAAAATATTAGTAAGTGTCTTTTAACGGAAAACAACGTTGGTTTGTCTTTTTTTACGTTATTATGTCGAATCTCGCTGCAAAACTGAAAGTAACATGAAAATATAGTTAGAGGTGAATAAAAACAAGGGACTGGGTATTATAAAACTTACTTATTCACACCTAGCCTCATGGTTGACATATCCGTGACAAAAGTACCGCCTTTAAACTTAATAATAAAATAATTATTGCACTTGCGCGCGATGGAGAACAGCCGTGACACCGTCGGTGGTCACATTCATCCAGAATCGTCCACGAATAGATCACGATAACGCTCGTAAAGATTAGTCTTCCAAGCACAGGGGTCTATAACGAAGACGGAAAGAGACAGGTCATGTCGCGTGTGCAGAGACTGACGGTAAAGCTAAGCATAGCAAGCACATCTTGAATATTACAGCCAACAACTTATGAAGTAGGATTTATTGCCAAGCCACAGCAAAAAAATGCGGAGCACAAGGATTTACAAGTTGCGTATATAATGTGCACTTCAAGTTAAGTATCAGAGCTATAGAAAAAAGCCTCTTATCTTAAAAAAATCCTTATCTGTCTATAATAATCTATAATGTAAATATTAGATATATATATATATATATAACATAATATAATAATAAAATTATATTATTATATATAATAACATAATATTATAATATAAATCTATGGCTCTGGTCAAAATTATTAGAGTCTGTATTCTACATACAGGCACAGGGACGCTAGTCAAAAATGACCTCGGGGCGCCATCTGTCGATAGAAATAAATTAATAAAAATAATAACACGCATTGTCATAATATACGCATGACCACTGTATGACCAGCTATACGTTTTTTCTACAAGTAAATCTCATAAACTGCAAATGTAGGCAGGTGTAGGCAGGTAGGTAGGTAGGAATGTGGGTAGGTGTAGGCTGTGGCGTAAGGTCATGCTGTTACATAGTCAATTTATTTGACGGTTTATTTTCCAACTAGACAGTTAATTGTACTGCCGGAGGAATTCACTTACTGTATTTCATTAAATAAATTGATTGAATTCACGGTGTTTTCTATTTGTTGACTAATATCAACAATCTGGCACAAATTAGATAAATTATTGGTAGAAATAAAGTTATTCTAAGCGGTGATGTGAACGGGGATGAATCCATCTATGATCACATTAGGAAATGAGTAGCTAGGGTTCGCCCATCCATCCAGGATTCAAGTTCAAGTTCAAGTTCAAGTTCAAGTAAAATTTATTTTTATCGGTATATAATGAACATTATTAACATAAGCTAAGCGCTTTTACACCGATATCAAACAAGAGGATTAAGGATGAAGAGGTTCTTATATATATCTCTTATATCTTATATAATATATATAATATATATTCTTTATTATATTATATATAATATATTATATATTATAGTGTATCTTATATATTACAAGAGGTAGTATTAATATTGTTATTATTATTAAATCTTTATTGCATGTAATTCAAATACGCATACATGTACTGAAGACAGTCTTTTTCGTGGAGAGAAAGTCTGATAGGTGTTGAGAATTGAGAATTGGAAATTGAATATTAATTACTTTGCTTTTTAATTATATATTCGCATTTTATACCAATTTTCTGCAAATATTGGTTATTTTTGGTACTATTCGGTGATCTCTGTGTGTCAACATCGTATCTTGAAACGAATGGATGACAATTACTACCTTATGCATCACAGCGCGTACAGATAGGCAAGCAACGAAAGCGGATGACACTTCTTTGTCGGCGGTTGGTTTTCCGTGTTGAGTTTAGCCGCCTACACGCCTATCGCACGTAAATTTATGTTTCCAAAATTCTCTGATGTAAATTTACTGTCGTTAACGAATATTGTTTTGTTATGAGTACTCGTATACTACATGTTCTGCATAATCAGGGTAAACTTACGGTGATCGGACGGCATTAAGGTAATAGTTGTAAAAAAACCTAAAATAATCGCCACCCACAGAATCATTTATTACATTAATGATAATTGGTGATTATCACATTATCACTTATCAATTATCACATTACGGTTACCCATTAGTGATAATTGTCCACACACATACAGCGACATACATGTACGACATCATGCACAGGCTCTGGGCCGATTCAATAATATAATGATAGTATAATTTATTTCATTATTAGTAAATAAACACAAATCGTATTCTCTATCAACGTTTTAATGCTAATGAGTAATGTACTCTGTATGGCCCAATAATTACAAGTAAAGCTAAAGGCCGTTCAATACACAATCCTATCGCCCACATGATAATGTGCTAATGTCTTATGACTAGTAATGTGCTTAAATTCACAAAATCTAGGCGTTTCTGTTCGCCTATTTCATGTCCTTTGTTAGAATGTGCACAGTAGTGCTCATAGGGTCTATGTCCCCCAGGGTACTGCCGGAACGTACCCCGGGTACGGTCCGGTATACCGGAACGTACCCTGGTCACTATTTGATATGGTTAGGGTTAGGGTTCGGGTTAGGGAGTAGGCGTAGGCGACTCCCAAGACTCGTTAGTGGAGTAGGCGAGGTACGGTCCGGCATATTAGATAGTACCAGGGTACTTTCCGCCAGTACCCCGGGGGACATAGACCCTCTCAGCCACAGTAGTATCCGTGTGGTGAGTTGGTTACAAACACAGGCAATTGGAACGTCTCAATAAAAAAAAAAAGGTAAATAAACACGAAATGTACCAAACTCTTAATGTTTCTCTACTGTATTTCGCCTATAATTACCTGTAAATGCCGGTCAAATGCTCATCTGCAACACACAAGTATGTACACCGAACGCCCGCCCGCGCTGTGCTGCGTGCACAAACAACATGAATAAGAGAGTTATTCATGTTGTTCTTGTTCTCTCTTATTGTGTCATTCTCTCTTCATGTCTCTCTTATTCATGTTGTTTGTGCACGCAGCACAGCGCTGGCGGGCGTTCGGTGTACTTGTGTGTTGCAGATGAGAATTTGACCGGCATTTACAGGTAATTATAGGCGAAATACAGTAGAGAAACATTAAGACTTTGGTACATTTCGTGTTTATTTACCATTTTTATTTTTTATTGAGACGTTCCAAGTGCCTGTAGTTACAAAGGCATCAAGTATGAGGTGGGGGCGGATGATACTATTTCCATATTGATAAATTCATTTGTGTGCATTAGGAACATGAAAGTCTACAGCAATATACAGGGTTCTCCCTACGTTGCGCAAACCGGGCGCGCCCGCCCTGTGTGGGAAAGCTCCCCCCACGTTTCAATCATTGCGCCCTGTTTAAATTACCTCCGCCCCGATTAATTTCCACCACAATAAAAGTTTGATAGCGCGGGAATCGATCGTCAAGAATTCCCATTCGACCAGGCACCCGGACGCGTGTATTTTTACGGTACCACTAATGAGTAAACGTCCTACACTACGCATTCACTGCAGACCACACACAAGTACAAACAGTCACCCTGTCCCAAACCTTAACATAAACTGTACCGACTCGGCTGTCTTATATACAAGTACCCCAAATACCGTCTATGGTGTGGTGGCGATTTTACGCATTACGGTAAAAAAAACACGCCCCCCGGACCCCCCTAGTTTTTCCTTCCCTCTCTCCCATTCCCCCTCCCCCTGCCCCTGTTTCAATTTCATCCTGGGGAGAACCCTGATATACATTACTCAGTAATTTACTGAGTCCTCAAACTTGGATAATATTACTATTAGGATTGAATAGGGTTACAGGGCATGAAATTGCCCAAAATGTAAACAGCCCCACCCAAAATTTTAAACAGGCCCTTAGACAAATTGAACAGGCCCTTACGAGTTTGAACAGGCCCCTTAATTTTGTTCAATTTATTTCATTATTAATAAAAGTATTAGCTTTGTGTTTATTAGGCATACTCGTAGTATTTCAGTACGTGTCATTTCATTGAGCACTATCAGTAGAGTTCTACTTGTTTGACAGGAATTGCTGGAACATGATTTACTTCTTAGTAGTCACTAAGTAAAAACTAGTCAGGAAATTGGTAAATATTGTTGATGTAAAGGCAAGATAGGTAAAATTCTAAATAAGCCAAGTGGACTGATTATATGGGGGGTTAAATCAGCGGTTTAGGGGGTTGAACCGGCAGCCGCCGGCAAAATAGCGCTAATTTCGCACGCTGGGGTTAGATAAAGCCTAGCTGTGATACAGCATACATTGTCCATCGATGACGACCTCAAGGATCACTCCGTCATCTGCTTCCAGGCGGCGCTGCTCTACACGTCGAGTCGAGGTGCGGGGGTCGTGCGGGGGTCAGTAGAGGTCGTGTGGGGGTCAGTAGAGGTCGTGTGGGGTCGCGCGAGGGCAAGTCTTATAGTGTCCCATTTGGTCAGGCGTTGATGCCATTTTGTTATTAGCGGAGGTTAAGTTGGGGTAAAGTTTACATTTGAGATATAAATAATTATTATTAACGTAATGCGTGTAAGTGTAGTATTTGTAACTCTACTCCATCAGCTATCGACAGTTATTTCTCGTGACGCGATCTAGCGTTGTTGTAGCGTTAAACGTCGTGCGCGCAGCCCCGTAGGTGGCGCTGCACGTAAACGTTGTGCGCGCCGCTCCGTAGGTGGCGCTGCACGTAAACGATGGATTCCCTTGTCGCGCGGCGTTCACGTGTTTCTCGCGCCCGCCCGCGCTCGCTCTCACGTCGTTGGCGTGTGTTGCAGGGGAGCGGCGGATCAGGGTGCACACGATGTGTTTACCTACGACCAGCAGTCTAACGGACGTCTACGCCTCGGCCGACCAGCAAGCTATCGTGGGCCTCGTCGCAAAGATGGGTGAGTCATGCACCGCCACGCGCAGTAACGAGCTACCGGTCACTAACGAGTTATCTACTAACAAGCTACCACTCGCTAATAAGTCGTCAGTAACATTCTTCCCTTGTAGATGCCGTTACCATGTGTATCTGTTGATTACGTTTCCCGCCTGTAGATGTCGTTACCGTGCGTGTTTGTGTTGCAGCGGTGGATCGCTCGTTGACGGGCAGCCTTAAGGACAGTCGCGAGGCGTTCATCAACGTTTGCACTGACGTCGTGTCAGCGTACGGACAGACGATGTCGTCGTCGCAGCGATACGGAACCGTCACGCTTCCATACTCGCTCCGGCTCCTACCATTGCTCATCCTCGCTCTGCTGAAGAACGTAGGTGGCGCCACCGCAGCCTCCGCGCGCGGGGGGTTGTTAGGATCGCCCCGTGAAGTCGCTAGTGGTTTACTTCTAGCGATTTACTTCTTACGATTATTTTACTGGTTGATGATCGGAGATTGGTTGACGCAGCTGATGGAAAAATCTTCGTTCTTCGTGTGTTTTGCAGTGAAGTTGAGGTTGTTGTTAGTTTAGGAAATTATTACTCGAAATTATCGACTGTCTGCTTGAACTCTGCTGGCAACAGAATTAATTAAGAAATTTGAGAATTAGGAAAATATTAATTAAGAATTAATTAGTTAATCACATAAAAGGGTAAGGCAGTACGACCCCTTTCCTTGACGACCACGTCTGCTTGCAGCCTGCGTTCCGTCTCGGACAGTCGACGAAACTCGATCACCGGGTGTTTGCAATGAACGAGATGAAGACGAAACCGCTGCGCTGGCTGATGCTGAACATCTATCCTCGTCTGTACGCCGTACACAACCTCACGGATGAGGTGAGACAGAGGAAGAGGAAGAGGGAGAGGGAGAGAGAGGGAGAGAGAGAGGGGGAGGGAGGGAGAGAGAGAGAGAG